ACAAAACCGGTGCTATCTTGCCGCGTCGCCGCACGCCGGCTTTTGATATTTTAAGGAGCAGGGAATGCTGTCTAAGATCTTCCAGATCGCAAGTAATGGGACAGTTATTCTCCCAAGAAGTATGGTATGGTGGCAACGATCCTTTAGTTTCCGAAACCACTGATGTAGAAGCTACACCAGAACAAGGTTCGGTCGGAGCTTAGTGTTTGCAACAAGGCTTCCAGCTCCAGAAAACATTGGACCTGTAAATGTAGATTCTATTTTGTCTTAAAAACAGATAGAATGTGAATATATGCATATATATATATATATGATATATTTGTATGCCCCCAATAAAAAGCGGGACCATCTCTTGATGAAGTTTGGCACCACGATATGAATCTTCTTAAGTGCTTCAATGTCCCGGCATTCCTCAATACGTCAGTGGTTCTTTGGGTCTTTTCCTTCGGAGACTACCACTTGAGACTACCACTTGACCACTCATAAAACTGGGATCCTGGTGAGAGACTTCGCAAAGTCCCAGGCTTCGTAGAGGTGTCCGAGCTAAAACGCGTCATGGGTGGCAACCAGACGGAGTCGCTCATCGGTCCTTTGGCGCAACGAACGGCACCGTTGTGCCGTTGCCACGGCGACGCGACGCGACGCGACATCGGTTGAGAGAACGGACGGACGGATGCGTCGGACCGAAAAGCCGTTGCGACCGTTCCCCTGATTTCTTCCACACAAAAGCTTGGCAAGCAAGGACGCTACTAGGGGCTCCTGGCATCGCTACTAGGAGCAAGAAGCTACTAGGGGCTCTTGGCCGTACTACTAGGAACAAGAAGCTACTAGAAACATCTAGAAACAATAAATAAAGAAAGAAAACCGCTTTTGGGAGTTCCCTGTTGCCTTGGTTTGCCCTGAGGGTTTTAAGACCTGACAGGACGTGCCAGAATGCTGGAGTGGGGGAGGAGCTTTCCCAGAAACGTTATACTCTGTTACACTTCGGGTAGTTTTTGCTCTGGGCATTTTAGAGTCCACTTGATTGGCAAGGAGCTCATTCTTCTCGTACCCGCTCTTTGTACACACAGGGGAGGGCATCAGATGTATAGAAGTGATCTTCCATGGCAGCCCAAAAAACCACGTGTGCAAGTGGCTAGGTTGCAACCAAATTGATCTTGAATTCCCACTCTTAGCAACTTGGTACAAGACGAATTGACTTGTTGTTTTGGCCCATGAAGTACAACATGGTACCCCATTTACAAACGTGTTGTCCAAAGATGGTTTCCACATGCAAAGAGTTGGCCATGCAAACCAGTTGTTGAGACTTCCGCAATTAGGTGAGTATGACTCCTCCGGAGATGGAGCAACTTTGCCAAAATGCAGCATTCTGGGGGAAGTTAACTGCTGGGTGGATATGGGTTGATTCATAACAGTTTAATCAAGAAGAAACATCCAACAACAACTATCAACAACTGTGAAATCCATGGAGCTTTTTTTTTTTGACGGAAATGACATATCATGAGATGTTCCAAGCAGTCCGTGGACCGATCGGCCTTTTCTCGATCACAGCCGTTGCTTCCAAAAATAGAGCAAGCCGTTGTCGGTATGAGCACAGGTATAGCGAACTGAGGAGTGGACTCTTAGTGTTGCCAGGTCTTCTCATCAAAGACTCTTCAAAAAAACAAAGAAAGAAAACAGATCATGATCAGATTAGATACTGTAAAAACAAAAAAGTATCAAGAAGCCGTAGCCGATAGTAGCCACCATAGCCTTAACCTCTGGAGTAGTTATAACTGTAGCGCACTGTCGATCATGCTTGTTTTTGTCTTTGAGGTTATCGACCAGGCAGAGTTTCTGGCGATGATGTGCCCTCCTGGCTACAAGATGGAAAACTCTGAGGATAAGGAAGGGCACATGCTTCTCGGCAGTGTGACCGGCGGGTATACTATACTTTGCCAGACTGGTTTGTGCATTCACTGCTGATTCGCTGTTTCTAGGAGTTTTGTTGCTGAAGCAAAGGTGTTTTTGGTATTTCCTGGAATGATATTTTATCTGACCAGACTCAGGCTGGCTCAGCTCTTGAACGCTTACATCGATGAGGAGACTGCAAGGTTTACCTATGGCACCTAGCCATAATAATAGAACCTGAACAAAGAGTTGCCACATGGCCATACAGTGGAATGATATGTTGGTGCCCATGCTAGTTTCGGGATGTGGAATGATGCGGAGGTGTGTGGACATTCTTGCTGCAACGGGCCGCTGAGAGTGAGCTGAACCTTCGCGAGCAGGAACGCAAGGAAGTGGAGGCTGAGGAGGACCGCTTCGCACCCGCTGGAAGGTGCTGACAATGAGCCAATCACATGCTGGACATGTTTCTTTTGGAGCAGTTTCAAGTTGCTATGGTTTTGTCATGATCATCTTCTCAAAGCTACTCAAACCGTTTAGCATCGTTTAGCCCACAGCAGCCATGGCCAGGTTGCGCGCCGATAGTGTCTCCCTCCGAGCTGCCTTGCCAGTGGTCTCCCGGGAGCTGCAGACGGCAGAGGGGTTATCGTTACGTTCGTACACCGCGCTATCATAATCTATCTATGTATGCTCTGGGAGGAGTCTGGGCACGATCCCCCGGGATATACAGTACAGAATAATCACGATTACTGTATATAATTATGTTTGACAAGACTAAACCTTGAGATGAGCATTGTTAGGCTGTCATTCGGAATTTATGAAACATTCAACGTTTCTTCAGCAATATGGCCAACATATGCCAACACAGTGTTCCGATCCTAAATCTCAAGCTTGGCTTTGAGAACACCAGGGCCTCCAGGGTTGTAGTTTCAATTTGGGGATTGCCGGTTCAAGACATTTGTCCTTCAAAACCACTTGTTTGTGAACAACGGTGCCCAGCATCGGCCAAGTGCTGTTCTGTCTTTGCGAAGTGGCGCGTCGAGCCCTCAGCGAGGAGACCTGGGAGCTCTGGAATGAGCGCTTCAGCCATTTGGACCAAGATGACGATGGTTCCTCTGCTGAGGTTCATGGAGCCCGGTTGCCTCCGAGGGACGCGGAGGGCTGGTTAGGTTCCTTTTGCAATAGGCTGTGGGCTGTCATGGGATAGTGGTTAGGGGATCTGCTTTGGCGCTGGTGGGGAGTGAGTAAGCAACAGTTCAAGATTTGATCATCAGGGGGTTATGCAATGCTTAAACATATATATATATATATACATACATTGTGGTCGCGCAGACAAAGACGAATTGCGCAGACACTTTCCTGAGATGGATATGCACTGAACCGAAGACGATTCCTGGGCAAAGACGCAGACGAAGACGCATCGCCCGCAGACGAATGCCCCAGCGCAGGCGAATTCCCTCGCGAAGATGCAGACGAAGACGCGTCCCACGCAGACGAATTCCCCAGTGCAGACGAATTCCCTAGCGAAGACGAAGACAAAGACACATTCCGTGAAACGGTAAAGACTTCCAACGGAAAAAGAGCCGGACACGGAAGGAACAGCCCGAAACAAAAGAAAGACTTATATACTGTAATCGGAAAAAGGAGGGGTATCTATTTTTGGATTTTTTTTTGTTTCTTTTTTGTTTTTTTGTTTTTCGTGGCTTCTGGCTTCTGGCTTCTGTGGCTTCTGGCTTTTGTGGCTTTTGTGGCTTTTGGCTTCTGTGGCTTCTGGCTTTTGTGGCTTTTGGCTTTCGTGGCTTTCGTGGCTTCTGTGGCTTTTTGGCCTATCCATCTATCTGTCTATACCTATCTATTTATCTATCTATCTTTCTTTCTTTCTTTCTTTTGGCAGCTGTTCTCCTTTCTCTTTTTGTATTTGCTTTTCCTGTTGTTTTCGTTGCAGAGACGAAACCAAACAAGGAAGCAAGCAAGCAAGCAAGCAAGCAAGGAAGCAAGCAAACAAGCAAGCACGAGCTGCTCACCTTTGGATCTGGTGTGCTGCTGGGGGAGGCGCTGCCCCCCCCCCCAACCCCCCCCGCGCCACGAAATCTGCACTTCATCCCCGACACCCGCGCCTGCCACGAAATCAATATTTTAAGGTGAACTCCCCGGTGCAAAACTTTCTAACCAAGCAAAATCTATCTATCTATCTAATCTAATCTAATCTGATCTAATCTAATCTAATCTAATCTATCAATTTATCTTTCTATCTTTCTATCTTTCTGCAGTTCAACATCCACAAAGTACTGCACCTGCCACGAAATCTGCACTTCAAGGTCCACAAAGTCTTGCGCCTGCCACGAAATCTGCACTCCAAGGCCCACAAAGTCCTGCACCTGCCACCAACTCTACACTTCCACACCCACAAAGTCCTGCATCTGCCACGAAATCTGCACTTCAAGGTCCACAAATTCCTGCGCCTGCCGCAAAATCTGCACTCCAAGGGCCACAAAGTACTACACCTGCCACGAAATCTGCACTTCAAGGCCCACAAAAAGTCCTGCGCCTGCCACAAACTCTGCACTCCAAGGCCCACAAAGTCCTGCACCTGCCACGAAATGTGCTTTGCAAGGTCCACAAGGTACTGCACCTGCCACGAAACACGAAAAACAAAAAAAATCCAAAAAAAACGAAAAAAAATCCAGAAATATATTCGCAACCTCGGAAAAATGCCGGAAACGAAAACAACAGACCAGAAACGGATAAGACTTAAAACGGAAAAAAACCGGATACGGAGGAAACAGACTGAGCGAAAAACCATCAGACTTGGGTCCGCGCGCGTGCGAGCCGCAATCAGCTCTCAATATTCAACTTCCGGCGCGCGCGCACGTGCGGACCCAAAACATTGTCCGACATGCCACGGCTTTGCTGAAATGGGGAAAAGAGTTGCAAGGGAAGAAGACGGAAACTTCCCCCCTGCTTTACAGAGAATCTTGGAATCTTCTTGTTGAAAGCCTTTGAATCACGCTGGCCCTGAACATACGCCAGACATGGTTTTGAACTCCTGACAAGATTCGAGTCATTTGACATGAGCGCATGATGACATATGATGTTGGGGACACAGGACACAGGTTGACACACGCGACGCACTGGCTCAAGGCCCAAACGGAGGCACCAAAAAGGGGTGCAGCGGTTTTCATGGTAGCGGAGCTCTGCCGGGCAGCCCCCCGGCATCTCCAGGGAATCCCTTTTTGGGTGATCTTTGGGGGGTTAGGAAGGTCCACCCAAAAGCCCCGGGTGGATACGACTGGTTGGGGTCACGCTCATGGCATCGGATGGAGCTGGCTTGGAACAAGCCATTGGTGGAGATGGTGGCGCTGCCGCTTCACAGGCAGCCGGCGCTTCGGGTGGAGTGCAAGGACTGGTGCAAGCCCTCCATGGTTTGATAGAAGTTCAAAAGAGTTCAGGGTTCACGAAGCATTTGAGGCCTCCAACGAGTTTTCAACCAGAAAACAGAAGTGAAGAGCTTAGCAAATGGATGGACTGGAGGTTCCAATTCGAAACGTTCGTGGGTGCCGTTGATGCCAGCATGCTCAACCACATGAAGCATGCTGAGAAAGAAGAGAACCCCATCAATGATGGCAACCCACAGATCCGAGCCCAATCCGAGAGGTTGTACTCCCTGCTCACTGGCCTGATGAAACAAAGGCCACTCAGGTTGGTTCGAGGAGTGAGCAACCAGAACGGCCTTGAAGCTTGGAGGATCCTGACTAAGGATCTGCAGCCCAGGACTCGTCAGCGAAGCCTAGCACTGGTTCAAGCCCTCAATAAGGTCCAGTTTGATGCCACCAAGTCCGTGACCGAACAGCTTCCCCAGTATGACCTCCTGGTTCGTGAGTACGAGAGAAGTTCACAGACCACCTATCCAGATGATTTGAAGATTGCTTCAGTGGTGGCAGCCCTTCCTCCCAACCTCAGAGTCCACATCCAAATGGCTTTGCAGGATGACACGACCTTCGAAGACCTGAGACAGAGGATCGAGCTCTATGAACAGGTCAGCCAGCGATGGATGTCTGAAGGAGGCTTGCAGCTTTCTGTACGACCTATGGCCGAGGTTGAGGACAAGGGTGGACCAATGGAGGTGGATGCAGTGTGGTCCAAAGACGGTGGAAGAAAAGGTGGAAAGAAAGGAGGAAAGAAAGGCAAAGACAAGGGCAAGCAGAAAGGTAAGGGCAGCTGGTCCAAAGATGGAGGAAAGAAAGGAAAAGGAGGAAAGCCATTCGTCAAAGGTGATGGCAAGAAGGGCAAAGGCATGGGCACTTGTCACAACTGTGGCAAGCCAGGCCACTATGCCAAGGACTGCTGGTCCAAGAAGGTGAGACGAGTTGAAGAAGAAGGTCAAGATGTGAAAGGGTCAGCAACAGCGACAACAAAGGATGGTCAGACATCGGCGTCAACTGGCAGCTCAGCCCACACCGCAGGACGTTCGACAACTGCGGGAGTCAGGCGGGTCAGACTGGTCACGCCGACGGGATTGGCCACTATGGAGATTTTTGATCTCACTGAGGGTGACTCCAATGAGGAGCAGGAGGCATCCGAGGCAGAAGATGAGACCTCGGAGCTGACCATCTTTGCAGTGACAGAGATTGCCGAGACCTATGAGGCAATGGATGACGAGGAGACCTTCTATGACTGTGAGGAGGAGTTGAAGGATGAGTTGAAGCCTCCATCGATGGAAGAAACAGAAGCCCAAACCTCAGGACACAGAGATGATGGAGAGGCCAAGGCCATGGTTGAACCTATGAAGATTTGCATGATCAAGAACGTTGTGGCCTTGGAAGTTCCCTCCGTCATCATGACGATTGACTCCGGGGCAGATGTGTCAGTGGCTCCTGAACGGTTCTACAACCTTGGAGTTCCAGGTGCAGGTAAGCCCATTGAGATGATCGATGCACAAGGAGCCAAGATCTGCAGCAAAGGCAACCGCCGTCTACGACTTCAAGCCCAAACTCGTGATGGTGAAGTGGTTGAATTCATTGAACAATTTGCATTGGGAGTTGGTGTGACCCATCCACTTTTGAGCTTTGGACGCCTTCTGAAGCAGGGATGGGGACTTTCCAAAGATGATCATGGTCTTTTTCTTGAACACCCAGAGAAGACCGTGAAGATTCCTGCAAGGCTGGAACGAAATTCGCTTGTTATGGATGTGAAGATTTGTGCAGTTCGAGCTGAAGGAGATGAACCAGAGGAACTGCAAGTCAATGCAGTGAGTGGAGGACGAGAAGAAGCAGTTGAGAGTGGTGGTGATACAAGGCCACCAGAGCATCTAGCCACGGCAGCAACAACTGAAAGTGCCACAGCAGCTTGTGAGAAGGGTGACAAGGAAGATGATGATGTGACAATGGAGCTGATGCCTCAAGTGTCGAATGAAGGTGATCCTGGTCAAGATGAAAGTCGGTCACCAGGTTACACCACAGAGGAGTCCGGCGACATCATGGTGAAGGGCAGCAGCTGTGAAGACGGTAAGGTGAAAGAGAAGTTGGCCCGTTGGGAGCGCTGGAACTTCAAGTTCAAGGAAGTGAAGAAAGAACCAGTTGAGCTGTCAAGCCCTGAAGAGCAAGTTCGGCCAGTCCGTGGAGCACCTCGACAGCTGCACGGATACATCTCACGTGAACTGGGCTTGTTAGAGCGTCTTCCAGGCTGGCATGCACTACCCAATGGGATCGTTGTTCACTCAAAGCCCATGGCATCACACTTCCATGACCCGAGCTCAAGCTTTGGAGATGAGTGGTGTGGTCGACTGACGTTGGCAAAGATGACTGATGGAAGTGATCAATGGGAGCAGCTAGAGAACCTAGCCAACTACAAAGACACTCCACTGCCTTTCCGGCCATTGCCACATGGGCCACGGACAACACTGACGTTTGTGGCTCCAGGTCTGATCAAAGACTACTTCGTCGTCACCTCGGAGGTTCCCGTCAGCCAATATCCATTGCTGAATGGAGAGCCAGCATCATGGCCAGAAGACGAGCAAGAAGACCAAGAAGGTGGCGAAATTCCATGGCTGGCAGCTGGAGGAGGAGAAAGGCCAGAGATTGCAGAAGATGTGCATTTTGTTGATCCTGATGAGCTTGAGGTCAGCATCGATGAACTGACGTTCAACAAGGACAACAAGCTGAAAGATCTCCAGGACATGTGTCGAAAGCTTGGGTTACCCACTTCAGGGTCAAAGGTGAAGGTGCTGAGAAGATTGCAGCAGTACAAGCACCATGAGGAGGAGAAGATTGCCTACGAGATTGCACAGCGGCTCTACAGTGAGCAGAGAAGAGAAGCAATCCCTGTGAAGACACCCAAGCTGCCGACCAAGCATGAACAAGAACTTCATCAACTTACGCATTTGCCTTTTCAGGCCTGGTGTCAGCAGTGTGTAGCAACAAGAGCAAAAGAGGACGTGAGGACTGATGCTGACACTGCAGATCGCAAGGATCGTGGCCGCAACGTGATCAGCTTTGACTACGGCTATACATACACCTCTGGAGCGGCTGAAGAAAAGCAATGGGGAACTGCACTCTACGTAGCTGAATCCGAATCCAAAGCAGTGTTGTGCATCCCCGTCCAGGCCAAAGGCAGTCTGTCGCTCAGGCAGATTACAGAGGAGTTGACTCGCTTCAGCATGCAAGTGTGCAACACACAGCCCATCGTATTTCAGTCAGATGGAGAGCGGGCAACCAGGCAAATCCTCCGAGCTGTTCAACATGCTCGAGCTTCAATCGGACTGACCACGGAGATTCGGACGACTTCCCGAGAACAACATGCAAGCAATGGTCAGGCTGAGCGAACAGTCCAATCTGTCCGGAAGCTAGCAAACACCCTACGGAGTTTTGCTGAGGAGAAGACAGGCATCAAAGTTACAGGTGACATGCATTGCTATCCCTGGAGCTTTCGTCATGCAGCCTGGTTGATGGTGAGATATCGTGTGATCAATGGTTGCACGTCCTTTGAAGCCCTGACAGACAGGAAATACAACGGAAAGGTTGCACTATGGGGTGAGACTGTCTTGTTCAAGGATGTCACTGCCTTCCGCAACAAAGGAGATCCTGTCTACAAGAAAGGGCTATGGATGGGCAAGAGTGCGTGGAGTGATAGCCACATCTGTTTGACCCGGTCAGGTGCAGTTGAAGCTCGGTCAATCAGGCGTCTTCCTGACCAATTCGATGGACAGATGTTGGTGAACAGCAAAGGCCTGCCTTGGCAATACTCCATCCAGGGCATCCTGATGAAATCCCGTTTTGCAGCCCGACAACGTCAAGCTGAAGCAGTTGAGGATGCCGAAGGAAATGAGATGATCGAGCAAGAGGCCAAGACTGTTGGTGAAGATGTAGCATTGGGCATGTATGGCCATGGTCCAGTGCTTGGTCAAGCAACACCAGGTTTTCCACTGGAAGGGTATCCCAGAACACCAGGGATCACCCCTAGACCAGCTACACCGGCACCAAGAACACCAGCAAGACCTGCAGTAGCACCAGCAACACCAGGGACTACAACTCAGACCTGGCGGGAGAAGGCAAAGGCAAGACCGTTTCCTACGACAGCAGAGGACGAAAGTCCGTCAAGGAAGATCAGTAGACTCCCCATTCCTGAGTCTATGAAAGGTGAACCTGCGAGGAACTTCATGCAGGACACTGAGGAGGTGAGCCCAAAGCGACAGAAGACAGCTGAAGCAGCCAAGCCAGCAACCTCAGCGGAGACAGAACGGCGTGCGCCCGGAAGCAGCTCGGTGACGACTTTGCCACAAGGGTCATTGAAGAGAGAACTGTTTTCATTGCCTTGGGACGCTGAAGATGATGAGAAGCTGAGAATGAGCCCCAAGAAGAAGGTGCGAGCCATTCAAGAAGAATTCCCTGTAGGTGATGACATGCTGGCAGAAGAGATTTTGCAGTCAGCCCTAAATGATGTGAGTGAAGATGAAGAAGGAGAAGGGCATGCAAAAGAACGACCTCCAGATGTGTCAGAGGAGGAACTGGCAGCTTTGGATGATGAGGCATGTCGCCATGAAGAACGCCGCCTGGAGCAGATGGGAGTTCTTGAAAAGGTGAAAGATGGCGAACCTGACGAAGAAGGTTCCTATGTCCTCACCAGCAAAATGGTGATCACCTGGAAGTTCAGAGATGAGCAAGGGGGCTGGTTCAGGAGAGCTAGATTGGTTGGACGACAGTTCAAATGGAGCGTTTTCACCGAAGACTCCTTTGCGCCAACCTCAGCTTCAGTGGTGGTCAGAATGTTGCTACGTCTACAAATGCAGACAGGATTAGCTCTCTACACTCTGGATGTCAAAGATGCCTTTTTGCTCATGGACCAACCCGCTGACGAGAAGGCAATGATCGTGACCAGCAACGGCAAGTACAAGTTGAAGAAGAATTTGCCTGGTCAGAGGAATGCAGCTGCACAATGGTTCAAAGGATTTTGTGCAGTGGCCAGGGACTATGGCATGGTGCAGGACGTGATGCAGCCGACTATGATGAAGAAGGACAAGAAAGCCAAAGATGAAGGCAATGATCGACTGTTCCTCACCATCCATGTCGATGATTTGCTGTTGATTGGTGATGAAGAAGAAGTTGAACGATTCATCAACTACATGGAACAAAAGTCCTGGAAAGTGGAGAAGCGTGGTCCACTATACCAAGGAAACTTCAGCTACCTCAAGCGCAACATGGAGATGATTGAGAATGGCATTGTGATCCGCCCGGACAAAGAGCACATCAAAGCATTGGCCAAGGTGACCAATGTGGAGAACCGAAAATTCCGGACCACTCCGGGAGACAGCAACTTCACAAAGCTGAGCAAGGATGATGAGCCAATGGCAGACGAAGATGTGACGAAGTACAGGAGCGCTGTTGGAAAGATCTTGTACATTGCCCCAGATCGCCCTGACATCCAGTTCGTGGCTCAGGGACTAGCCAGTTTGATGCAGAAGCCGACCAAGAAGGCTTGGAGGGCAATGCAGCATGTGAGCTCCTACTTGTTGGGGACCATTGACGAAGGCATTTTGCTGGAGCACGGTCCTAGAGGCAGAAGTGTCCTGAATGTCAACGAGGACACGCGTGAATGGGAAGATGACTCCAAGGCCAACCTGCTCGAGGTGATCTGTGACGCCGACTACGCAGGGCAGCAAGCTACAAGAAAGTCAGTGAGCTCAGTGCAGCTGTACCTGAATGGAGGACTGATGGAATCCTATGTCAGATGTCAAAGATGCATAGCGCTTTCCTCTGGCGAGAGTGAATATGTGGCCATGGTTGGAGGATGCAGCGAAGGATTGTTCCTGAAGCATTGCTGGTCCTTTTTGACTGGAGAGGAGATCAACATGGTCTGCAGAAGCGATTCCTCAGCTGCTCGAGCGTTAGCTGGTCGGATTGGAGTCGGACGAACTCGTCACATTGCAGCCGGCTTGTTATGGTTGCAGGAGAAGACGAACGCCAAGGAGTTGAGAGTCACAGGAGTGCCCACGGCCATCAACGTGAGTGACATTGGCACCAAGATCTTGGGCAAAGCACGCATGAAGGGTTTGAAATTCCTCATCAAGATGGTAGATGGGGACAATGAGAAAATTGGCCAGCAAGAGTTTGAAGAGATCCACGCCAAAGAAGAGTTGAAGAAGAACACGAGCAAGTTAGCAAAAGCAGTTGGTGGAAATGCAAGGATAGCATTGGTCCTGGCTTTGACAATGCTGCAAGGTGGCAAAGCATCAGAAGTGCATGAGACAAAGGAGATCCAGGAAGAAGAAGCATGGTGGATTCGGCCATTGATTACACTGGTATGCCTAGCAATGGTTGGAGCCTTGAGCTTGACAAGATGGCTATGGGAGAAAGGAAGACAGTGGTTCAATGGAAGACGAGTCCACAATGGCAGAGATGTGGAAGGAGAAGAGCCAGAAGAAGAACAGCAGCCGCAGCAAGTGGAATACGAGACTGACACCGAGAAGGTGAACATGCAATGGCAGATCGTGCAGCTAGAAGTGGCGCTGGCAGAAAAAGATGAATATTTGAAAGAGATGACAGAAGAGAAGGATAGAATGATGCACGAGTACCTGAGGTTCGCAGACATGAATGTCAACCTCAGGGGTCAGCTGGAAGATCTTCGAGAAGAGAATCTTGGACTGACCAACCGACTTCTTCGCAGAGGAGGAAGCCATGATGAGAAAGAACAAGAAATCCAGAGACTGGATGAAGAAATCAAGCAGCTGAAAGAAGTGAATGTGCTGCTGAAGGCACGCATTGACGAGATGAACCAAACATCCAATTCGAGGCTGAAAGAGAGCCTTGATGGTGTAAAGTTTGAAATGGAGCGAAAGCATTGGACGATGACTCATAGTGGTGAATGCTACCACGAAGAGACATGTTCACGCGTGGCCAATCGAGCCACAAAAGCAATACGTCCCTGTCCATACTGTGTTCCCAACACCATGAGGGCCGTGACAAGATTCGAGTCATTTGACATGAGCGCATGATGACATATGATGTTGGGGACACAGGACACAGGTTGACACACGCGACGCACTGGCTCAAGGCCCAAACGGAGGCACCAAAAAGGGGTGCAGCGGTTTTCAACTCCACCTCAGCACCCTAAACAATAACCCCGCCTGCATACACATCACTACACACTATTTTAACCTCGGGTGCGCGCGCGCCTACAGTTTATAGTCTCAGTTTGTTTCAAGAGCATTGGCGGACCCAGTTTTCCCTGGGAAAAAAAATAAAGAACAAATCTGTCCAGGAAATCTGTCTGCACAATGTGTCGTCAGTGTCTCTGTGTCGTCAGGGTTCAAGGTGTCGTCGGCTAATGTGTCTTTGGAATGTGTCGTCAGCGTCAGGTCCAAAATAGTACCCCCTTCTGTGGCTACCCTGCTTATGTAATATAGGTAGTAGGTTCCTTCCCCCATTTATTGCCCTGGTTTTGGTGCAAACAAGACTTGTCGCGGTTGTTGTTTGTACTGAAAACCGTCCATATCCAGACGAGTTTTGGATGTCCTTGTGACATTGGGGTCATTGGGTGACCAGGTTATATCTCTGCCGATGACTTGCGTTCCTTTCCCGGACTCTTCCACTCGAGCATTGCGCGCTCCTGGGCTGCAAGTGGCGAAAGCCTTTGCTTTCTGGCCGTTGGGATCCAGTGTCAAATCGCAAGGACTCATAAGTTCATAAGGTTTATATTATGTACATATATATATATATACACATACATACGTTCATAAAGTATATATCACATATATATATAGAACTGATTCAGAACGCGTGGATGTTTTGAAGGAGGGGACTCATCTAGTTTTCCTCCAGCCAAAGAGGAATTGTTTTGTGATTATCTGAGCAGCTAAACAAGCACCATGTTTGGCAGCAGACAAGTCAAGCAGCTTTTGTTGACAGGTCAGGTGAGAGGCCTATTGTGCAAGTAGTACGGACAAAGCAAAGCTCTCAATATGAACACTCGATCCAACCGCCATTGACGAAGTTTAAGAGACGGGCATTTGCAGATCCATTGGGCGATCGTTGCCCTTGCCTTTCGAGGCGACTTGTTGCTCGGCATTTTGGACCACAAGAGCGGGCCCAGGCAGATGGGGCCAGATACTGTACAGTTCATGCCGGTGGGATCACAGTATTGCTTGCGGCATCTTGCACCAATTCCTTGGAGAGACTTCAGTATAACAGTATATAACAGTAGTGTAACAGTATATACATGCGGTTTTGATATCTTTTAATCTTGAAGGAAAACCGAGCGCATGCCAGACCTTGTGCAATATTCCAGACCTTGTGAGAGGATCTCCAAGGAGTTCTTCCTGGACACGTTACTGAAGACGCAACGCGTGAGGATGCCCACCTGAGTAATAATGCACCGAGCATGCCATCCGACCAGCAGAGAGCAACGCAAGGCTTTTGCCTGGGGCTTTTGCCTGTTTTGCCTTTTGCATTTGAGGGACAAAAGGAGGAAGCATTCCACCTGGAAGGGTCGAATTCGTTCAAGGGACGCCGCTTGTTTTAAGAATCTGAATCGTTTTCAATCAACTTGGAGAGAGTGGAGGCTTTAGAGCTTCAAGGCGCACATGGACTCCTTTTTTAAACAATAATTTTTTACAAGCATGTTGTTTTAGCCGAGCCCGAACGTGTTGCATTCCAAACGATTTTGCGTTCTCTTCCATGGAGTCGTGTCTCGCGGTGAGAGCTGGATGACTTCTTCATCCCCCTCAAAGGGGTTGCTCTCAGAGCTCTTCAAGTGATCTGGTGTCGCTACCATGGTGCGACCACTGTAGCGTAGAAACACAATCGCACTCACATTTGGTTCGAGATCTCATTCTCGAGGCTCTGGTGATAGGGAGGGTTCTGCAGCGTCAGTCCTCACCACAGCCAGAGCCCTTGTCGTTTAGTGGCCCGTTTGGCACTGAATTGGTTGGAGAGCTGAACAGCGGCTCTTGAACCAGTGGAATCAGTGGAAATGTGAAACATTGAGGTGAGGACTTCGGGTGTACGATCCAGCTCGATTCATTCGGTCACGAGGATTCAAACTCAGAACAAGAAAACGGGAAGTGCAAAGTTCAGGAGGCAAACGCACAGGAGGTTCCTGCCTCAATCTAAAAATATATACTGTATATATATATATATTTTGTTTTTTGGACTTTGAAGAGTGCAAAAACGACCTTTTCAAGGGCCTTGAAGCCACCCTAGATGACTGTAGATGACCCGGATCAGATCTGACCTCGTGTTCCATGTATTGCATTGCCTTGCAGGCAAATCTCTTAGGAAAGTGCCACCGTGGCGAGTTGTGCCAGTATGCGCACAGCAGGGGAACCTGGATTTGGGTCAATGCACTTTCTGACAACATGTTTTTTGGGGATCAGGCTTGGATCAGTGCCGAAAGTAAGACATGTGGCGATGGCATGCACCGTATTCTCTTCCGTCACCTGTTCTTCTCCTGCGTACTTGAAGGTGATGAAGAGCAGAACCAGTGGAAGCGGAGGAGGTTTGAGCAGGCGAGACCGTTTCTTCAAAAGTTCGGTATTCTTGCATGAGTCGAAGCATGATTAATGTTAGGCCGAACTTTGCGGTTTGCCTTGGCATATCAAATTCCGGATCGATGCCATCGACGTGGAATGACCCACCAGGCGCCACGCCCGCGGCACGTGGAGGCTCCAGGCTTGGGTTAGTTGGGTGGAGAGGGGTAGAGGTGGAACCGCAGCGACGTGTCATTCAAAACAAGAGTATACAGGTGTGTGGCCACCCACCATCACTGACCCATTTTTTCACTTAACTTGTGACCAATGCTCCTGGATTCGGGGATTTGAGGCCGTACAATGCAATGCCACATTGAGTTGACTGTAAGGACGACTCAGTAGAGGGGCTTAAGCTGGCACCAACCCCTGGCCTGAAAGCGTTGCGCAGATACTCTATATGTGCTTCCGACAAACATCCGATTCTGTCGGATCCTGAGAAACGTAGTTTGATGATCTGGGAAGCAACCGCTTTGGAAGAGTTTCCTGTGCAGACATGGCTTGTGGTTGCGGCACCCATGTTGTTTCAGACGTGATCACTTCCATGACCGTCTTAGGCCATGACACAGTGGCGCCAGACTTTCAAGATGGAAGGCCACAACGACAGAGAAGAATGCATGAACAATGATTCCCAGTGCAGCTTATTGTCCTTGTGGGTGTCGCCGCAGGTCGATCTTGCAGGGCTTGTGGGGCCTGATGGAGGGCGAGATTCAGCTTCGGGACTTGCCAGAGATGCAGGCCATTAGCACAGTTTTGAAACAAAACACTGTCGATACCAGTGACATGTCATGTTTTTTACAGAGTTTCAATAGACCACCATCAAAGCATATCAAAGACGAATAAAACTCGACGGAAGACGCCTCTGTAAGGTGGTATTCTTCGAAGACCGGCTTCATTCCTTGAGCAATCGCCGGCTCTGCTTGCCGCTTGGCACCTTCTACAGTTCTCACCACAGTTGCCCTTCCCAAGCCTTGGCTTTCTGGGTGTCTTGCTGACTGCTAAAGTCTTTCGGGTTCCTAAATTATTGAAGAAAGCTGAGGTACATACTTTGCGAGCATTTGGGGCTGATTGACAGGAAGGTCCCAGTGAAGGTGAAGCTGCTGGCCACTTGGAAGACAGCGCAACTGTTTTGTAATTGAAACAGGCTGGAGGGACAGGTGGTGTTAGGCTCAAGATGGGTCTACCGGATTGAAACCTTTTGACGTGGAAGGGAACAGTCTGTGGTTGTGTACTTGGTGCTGTAGTGCATTGCAGTCCCTGAGTCCTTGTCAGTTGACTCGACAAGGGTCCGTGAAGAGCTTGAACGCAAACCATCCAAACAGATACTGTACATTTTTTTTCATCACTTGATTGATGGGGGTCTAGCACAAGTTGTTTGGGAGACCCTCGCAGCCGAGAGCCAAGGAGAAACCGCCTGTGAACTTCTGGAAGAAGTACACCACGACGTGCGACGGGGATGCCTGGTTGAACAAGATGTGCCAGGGCAGATTCTTGCGCGTCCTTTCCATCCATGCCCATTCCTTTCCCTTGCCTTCGCTTTGCAATTTCCTTTGCTCACGCCTTGTGGCTTCTGTCATCTCGATGCCTCCCCTGACTGCCTAGGACTGGATCCGTGTACGGCGAGACGGAAGGATAGTCTCGCACAACAAGGAGCAGACAACGTATGGCTTGGAGCTCCTGGGCTGACGGAGATCGGCGGAGGGTGTTGCTCACGCCTTGGGCGGCCTTGCCCATTTCCGCACTGTTCTTTGAGGTTGTAAACCATTCTGTGAAGTCAAAGGGTCCAACTTGATTCAACATTCAAAATCTGAGAGGTCCATGAGCAATGCCCTTTTCCCCTTTGGAGCGACTGCTCTCATCTCGTTTTAGTGGCTGACGTGCGTTGGTGGCCAAAGCTGCTACCCATCCGCAAGAGGTTGGCTGTCTTTGAATGAAAACAGTGAAGGTCACATCATTGCTTGTAGGTTTCAGTGCGCGGCCTTTGACTGTAGTTTCGTTCAATCAATCTGATGGCCCTGCTTACGCTCCAGGGGCCTAACGTTTACCAATGCAGTGGATAGTTTACCTATTCCTCAGGGAGTCGGCGAATACGATGAAATGGTTGCCGTCCAGTCCCAAGTTTTGAATGAGGTTTCTCAACTTCAACCCCATAGCCGATTTTGTTGTGACAGTGGTTCTCATACATGGTGCTTGATAGGTCTGGGGGCGGTTGGGAACTTTCTTTGAGTTTGCTGCGTGATATCCACCGTCTCAAGAAAGGTTGCTTTGCACCTTGTGTGAGAACACCCTAGAAAGACTGGGGACAGGTGCCTGAACCACCAAGATTGGGAACCCTGTTGAAGATGGACACAATGTCGACTGAAGCCAGCAAGGTTGCATTAAGAGCGTTGGAGTTTTGGACGAACGAGCATTTGGCCACTATGTGACGGCCTGCTTACGTTCTGACTTCTAACAGATGAGCTTGGAGCTATGGCAGATGATGATTTGGCCAAGGCCATTGCATTATCCATGCAAGGCTAGGCCTGAGAGGTAGATGAATCTGGCATATGGGCTCAAACGACTCTTGTGGGCATATGTATATATATATATATGGTGATTTTCACTGTGCCAACGCTGCTACTGGTGTGGAAACTTGTATGGCTTTGCTGTTGCAATGAAGGTGTTGAAATTAGTCGATAAATTGGAAGAGGCTTCCAGTTTAACCAAGATCAAACCGCTTTGTCATTGTCCATCTTTGCCCAGAAACCAACACTTCGCGGCTGGTGCGGCACGAGATCCCAGCGGACAACTCATGCCTTTTCAATTCGGTGGCCTACGCGCTGAATGGTGGTGCCGGCAAAGTTGATTGCTTTCGAGTTCCCACATTTTGGCGACTGTTGTGCACTGATCATGAATAGTTTCACCACAACAACACCTCGAATTTTATAGCCCACTTGGAAGATTCACGAACCAGAGGAAGGGAGTTGTGACGATTCGTGCGTAGTATCATGCGGCTTGGCAGTCAAAACATCACCAAGTTTGTTGGTCTCAGCAACGCTATCCCAGATAGCGGCGATGACAAAGCCTCGGAGCTGCGGGGCATGGTGGCGGGACTGGTGCTCTCTGACCCAGAAACGCCAGGGCCACAGGGGATGAGTGGATGGGTTCAGAATTATTAAGATTTGGTTATAACCTATTTAAGCTATTAAAGGGGCTAGGGGCTAGGGGCTTTTCTAAGTCAGCAAGGGTATATAAGAGGTACAGAAGTCTGTCGCATTGGACAAGGGAAGGCAAGAATAGGCAAGACCTGGGTGATATAGAAGCAGCAGCATATACATCGCTCTGGAGCGCTATTCGGTTGGAGGTCATCTCTATTAAAAACAACTAATAAAGATGATTTCTTTCAAGGTTGTCTTGAATCTAAGGTGGACAGAGGCCATGTTGGGAAAGCCACCGGAAGAGTACGCAGATTGGTTCCTTGGCGACTCAAAGGCTCACAAGGTGCCTCTACATTTTCCACCCATCTGCCTGGCCAGGCATTGCCGTAACCACCTGTGTTCAGTTGCAAATTTCAATTAGTAGTAGCTGGGGCCTGTAGTGTCAACCATGGCCTCATGTGAACAATTGGACCCAGACACATTCATGTCTTTATGTTTCATTATAAAGATTTCCTGGCGTTAAAGCTCTGAATTGTTCTTCAAAGTTTGTGGGCTGCTAATGGGAGTGGTTTGGAATTGCTACGCGATATTCTCAATTGCTATGTGAGATTTCAAGTTTTGGCAGGTGCGCAAAAACCACACCAGGGATTGACAACGATTCAGGGATTTGGTTACGATGATGATGATGATGATGATGATGATGATGATGATGATGATGGTGCAGCAACTGAGAATCAATGCTTCAAAATGATAACTACACTATGTTCGAAAAGAGCAAGCATGAAGAGTAAAAACATAGAACAGTGTAAAAAAAGAGTAGAACAATAACATAACAAAGAGTAAAACACAATAGACCAACTATAAGTTATAAGATATGTCCATATACATAAATATAAATGGAAAACCGTCAGATCCAACCCCGTCACTCAGACCATAGATGACTTTGCTGGGTGAGGTACTCATGAGGCTCATAGAATTTGCACTCAAGTTTCCAACATGGATGTTTGGCTTAGTCCTGGAGAGGATATTTGTTTGATCTGACATTATGTTTATGTTGGGAGGATCGTTGATATTTCAGATTCAGGGGCCATTGTTGTAAGAAATAGGTACGGCTCCTGAACACACTTGAGTTTGTTGTTGATTTGTCTCATTTGGCAGACGGAGCATGACTCCCACACAAAGTTACCCCTACACGCCGCTGTTGTTGGCTCTTCTGGTTCTCTTGGGCTGATTTTGTCCAGGATACAGGATAGCGAGCATTGGGGCGGTGGCATCGAGCTGGCCATTTTGGCGACGTCCCACGAGATGGAGACACGCTGTCACCGGAGGTTTTGGGTTTACACATATTCTCCGGGGGTCTACTGCCTGCCTGACTGGGGGAAGGTAAAAAAGAACTGTGAAACTCTTGGGCGCATTCCCGAGGTTTTGCATGGTTTTGCATGATTTTGCTAAGAATGGTCTTTGGGATATGAACAGTTAGTTCTTTGCAGGGTTTATCCCTTCACACCAACACCATAGAGCCCTGCCACTGCCACTGATCAGCGTCGCGTTGGCAATGCGAGTGCAAGCTGCAAGTCAAACAAACTTTACAATCTTTGCATTGTGTTTTGATTCTTGTAAACATTGAGGGACGCCTTTGAATACTTTCTTCGAAGGCAGGTGACCAAGCATTGAGCTGTGCTTCTTCCAGCCGGCAAGGAGATTGCGGCCGTAGACATCCAGACACTGCGGGTGAGCGTGTTCGGCGAAGGTCAAGGCTAAGAGCGGCTAATCAGCTTCACTGAGTGATCGTTTTTGAACAATTCAGATTTGGAATGCTGCAGACTGACATAGAAGTTGAACAAGTTGAACGCTCGCTGAATTCTATGTGTTCTTTGTGACACGATTAAAGAGAGCCTGTAGCACATGACTTCAATTTCATAGAGCATCCTGGAGCTCTGAAAGACGAAAGAAAACATACTAAGTTACCAAGGCAACGTTCGTGGGAACCACTTTCTTGGAGCCTTGTGGGAACCTAGATGTTCCCTGTTTTCAAGGGAGGTGGGCCACGGTGGATTTTGTCGCACCTCACTACGTCGACGTCGACGCCCATGGGACCTCCCTCGGAGGCTTCCGCCGGCGTGCCCTGTTGATCTACGACGGCATTCACTATGATGTGCTGGTGCGCCGTGGCCCCTCAGGAGTGCAAAGCCGAGTGGATCCCGGGTGTGTTTTTGCAGCACTGGCGCTAGCCACTCCTTTTTTGGACGAGCACTTGGTAGGTTTGCAGGATTGAAATCACCAAGGCCAAATGCCAAAACCAAAGTGAATAGACAGTGAACATTGAACAGTCCAAGGTTTGAAATAAGTGACCTGGGGTGGGCTACATGAACTGTCCTTGAATATGACGATAACATGCATGTTGGGTAGAATCAGGTAGAAACGCCTCCGAACAGATTGTGGGTCTTGTTTGGTTGTGTGTGGGCCAAAATGAGCTGACCGAAGGACTGCTGTGAATTTTGCTTTAGGTGTGTTTCCAACGGCCAGATGAACATGTCCAATGAATCTTCACCAGTGTCTCAGGAGAGGAAAGGCTCTTCGGGGTCGATGACCTGGCAGCCGTTGAGGAAGCAAAGGCAGTAGCCAAGGCCAGAGGTGCTACAGAGGTTTGTACTACAATTTTCATTCAAGGTATAAGGTGTGCACAGGATAGCCAACGAGACAATTGAAGAAGCTCAACAATCGCAGTTAGTACAGAGTGGTTCTCGACTTTGAACATTATTGACACGTGATTGCTTGGCTGGTGCCAGCAGACACTTTTCTTTGCACAGAATTCCTGGGCTGCAGGAGGCGCAAATAGCTCGTGCCTTGGCTGGACATCGCATGACCAATGCGGTGCTCAGATCTTTTTGAATAGATTAGTTGGCGCACAACCATGATGGTTGTGTTCTCGAAGTCATTAATAAGCTTTCCTGATGTTGAACAGCGCCAGACTAGACACGGCTGGAAGGAGAAGCCCGATATCAAGACTTGGAAGTTGCCAATGCTGCAAAACACATTTTTTGGCAAAATTCAAAGGAGACAGACACCGAGACCTTCATGACTGGCCTGCCGTTTGCAGGCAACTTCACTGACGTTGGGCGTTTCACCTTGCGCTGTGTGAGCTGTCAGAAGGGCCTCGTTGGACAACAAGACGCCGTGGAACATGCCAAGGCAAGTCAACATGCCGGAGGGGAGAGGAGCAAGAACGCTGCTAGAACAAAGGGCATCGCTAGTAACGAGCAAAAACGCTACTAGGGGCTCCTGGCCTTACTACTAATAACAAGAAATTATTAGAAACAAGATTCGTCCAATATAACTATATGTGATTTCGTCGACGATTGAGGCTACTGGATACATTAATTTCACAGAATATTGATATTGATTGGAATGACGAAATTGGGCAAAGATACCCAAAATTTGGAAATAGAATCTATTTCCCTTTCGACGATGGAAAATATATATATATTTTGAAACATGAAAAATATTCTTAACTATATTAGTTTAAATATAATCTAATATTATATTATTAATATTGATTTGATTAATTTTCATGATTTGAATGGATGATTTGATATATTATTATATCTATTTTTTTTTGGATATATTAATTTGAAATAATATATATATATATATCTTAAATATAAGAAATATTAAATAATTTGATATTAAATTATATATTTTTGGAATATTTAGGAATGCATTATTTTAATCTAATTTAAATATATAGATTTTCTTTTTTTTGACGAATTATATTTAAAATAATATATATTTATATAATTTGGAATATTTTTGAATTTATATTAATTATATTGTTAATTTATAGTTTGTTATATCTTTATATATATATAAAATGAATATAATTTTAATAGAATAATATTATTTATGATATTAATTATGATTAATATCGATTATTTTAGTTATTAATATTTATATATTGGATTAATATTGGATTTTCATGCATACACTTATTCATTTGCAGTTTGATTACGGTTAGGCTCGTGTTGGGCAGTACGGCCATCTAGCTGCGGTTGCTTTAGTGAGTATCTAGCCACAATTACGATGCAAAGGTCGAAAGGTAGACTTAAATAGCCCCACCGGAAAAGGCCGCCGCTAGCAAATCGATTGGAAAGATTAATGTGTAAATCTTCGATGGGCTTCCGCTACCACATATTTAGATCTTCCTGAGGGATTAGATAGGCCGAGCGGCAGATTGGATCAACAACTGGGCACCTGATCGCCTCTTTTCCATCATCTGGCATCCAGGAGCTACCCGAGCTGATGAAAAGACACTGGTAGTGGCCGCTGTCAGGGTCTTCTCCAAAGTGATACACGATGGTCACCACTCTGTAGTGCAGCCAGCTGATATTCCGATCGGCGGGGTGATTGAAGATCGGTATATGGACCTCGGCACGTGAGAAGTCCACCGGAGTGTCACGCTTCAAACCGAGTGCAGGGAATCTTTCGATTTGCAACACTATGCATGGATGGGCATGAATGCAAGCATTCGTGAGCGGATCTTGGCCATGCCACATGTTGATCAAAATTTGCAGGTCGCATCTCTTTTCGTCCGGAACACGAAGGAGCAAAGGTGCCAGGAGAGCAACGCGGTCTTCCGTGGAGTTGGCTAGGCGTGTCTGCCAGCCATTGGACTCCATTCCCCAAATATGGCCATTGAGGTGTTGTCCTCTCAGCCATCCCAAAAACTCTGCTGCGTCCTGCTGTTCGGTGGAGATGTGCTCATCAAACCACGGTTGCAACAGGCTTCGAAACGGAACTGAATTGTTAAGATCCGCACCAGATGGTGTATCGAGCAGTTCAAGTAGAGGTTTTCTCCACTGACCCCAAAGCTCCGGATCAAAACCTTCATAGGCCAAAGTGGCCCAAAGTTGTCCCATCAGTGCAGCATTGATGTAGCAAACATTGGTGGGATTGTAGAGCTTCAACCGGAGCAATTGTCTCATCAGCGTCTCACACGGTGGGCAATGGCGGTAGCAAGCGGGGATCTTTGCAGGCCGGTTGGCCTCAAGCGCAGCAAGATCAACTGGCATATCCCGCTTCCGCTCAAGGTGTTGAGAATCTCGAACAGTTGAGTCGAGGCTGCACTTCTGAGACTGAGATCGAGACGCCATGGTATCGTCACCTGTGAATCTTCCGGCACTTGATCTCGATTCATGGGTTTGAGCGCGCTGAAGCGCTGGATCAGGTCGCCCTGGCTGGTCAGTTGTGAGAGCTGAATGGTGAGCTCCTGAACCTTCTCGTGTGGGATCGGTGGTTGCTTCGTCGGCCGAAGGCACTTGGCTGCGTTGTCCCACGCAAGGTAACGCCAAGCGTTCTCTGCTGACAGGATACCTTTCTGTCGAAGGGCTTGTACCAAGGATCCTCCGGATTGTCGTACTTCAGCTTGGTCAGGCGTTGTATCAATAGTTCGATCACCTTCAGGAAGTTGACTTGCCTGAGCGAACAAGTGACTCCAGAGTTCTGTCTCTGATGATGCCATTCCTTGGCTGTTAGGATCATTTCCGGCAGGATCGAGCCACGACCTGCTTGCAAGAACAACAGGAAGCTGCGGTCTAGAGCCATCTGATTCAACATGTCCTCCTGCCGTAGCGTCAGCTTGGCCAACATCATCAAAAGCTCTGTGTCCCCTTCGTGCTTCGAAGAGGTGGTTGAGGAGTTCGAGCGGGACTTCGATCTGCCTTTTCCAACTGCTTTGCCCTGAGAGGACTCCGGCTCTATACGAGGGCGCTTGAGATGAACTTGGCATGTATCCAACAGATCTGCAAATGACATGTCGTCCATGGACATACTGTCGTCCAAACTCATGAGCACCGGGGCTCAGGACGAAATCTCGTGCCAAGGCATGCTCGAGTTCAAATAGTGCAGTGCAAAGCCAGTTGATTTGCTCGTGCTGGGTTGATCAAACTGGGGTCCCACCATGTGTCCATGCTAACCGAGTGCCAGGCCCAGTGTACCGGCAGCGGTTCCACAATCCAGCGGATGATGTGGAGTGCAGTGCCCAGGTTCATGGCAACCTGTGGTAGGTCATGAAAATGGATTGTCCAGCGCATGACGAAAGTATACCAAATCAAACGACGTTCAGGTTGGAACTGAATGCATCTGGCAATGGTGACTTGTACTGAATGTCTCAAGTCCATGGTCGAAAGGCTGTCGGTTCCGAGAATGAGGCCCAGTGCCCAAGTCGAATGGTGTCCCTGAGTCGGCAGGGGAACGGCAGGTTGGTTCTGTGCAGGTGGGGACTGACTGTCAACCTTGGGTCCATAGTGGGTGTCTCGAACCCAGTTCATCAGGAGGACCGGACAGGTGCCACGATCAAAGTGGTTCTTGAGTGCAAACGCCATGGTGAAGCTGGCTTTGCAATGCATGCAGCTCAATCGTCCAGGAAACATATCCAGGCTTGGTCGAAAGGGGAATGAGCTGGGCTTATCTATTTGATGCACTGTGCGAAGATGATTTGCAACAGCTTTCCTACCAAGGTGCTCAAAACACAAAGGACATTCAAACTCTTGAACAGGGACTGGAATTTCAGTCGTCGTAGCTCGAAGACGATGGGCGATCGTGTCAGTTCCAGTGGGTCGACCCTTCTTGGCCGGCGGTGGGACTGCCAAGAGTTCAGTGTGCGCCGTCTGTTGATGAGTAGTCAAACCATTCAGGCTCAGGAAGCAGGCCTGACAGGTCTGGCACTTGTGGAGTGCAGCCTGTGGTCTGTCTGCTTGGTTTAGGTCACTGTGCTGCATCTGTTCCTCCCCCCCGCCCTCAGTCTTGGCCCGTTTCGGTGCCGGCTCGGTGGGCGGCTCATGTGTCGAAGGTTCCGGACCTGAGGGCACGGTGGCAGACCAAGGTCGTGTTCGAAGCGGCATGATGGGAAAGTGGTCAGGGCTCATGACATGGCCGGACATGGCAGCTAGCTGGTACATGACTGCGCAAGTGTGCTTCTGGAGATCAAGGCTCTTGCATTGACACATGGGGCATTGGCCTTTACCAGAGACAAGGTTCGAAAGACCACTGACAAAATCATATTGCTGCTTTGCAGGGCCGACTAGCTCAGGATGGGAATCCGTGTAGTTTCTGGTCATGGCTCGGGCGTGTACTTGGAGATTACAAAAGGCACATCTGGTAGCCAGTTCCGAACAAAGTGCTTGGTCCAGCATAAGGCCCATGAAGGATCGATGTCTGATGTGCATTCTGAGCTCGTCCCGGGCGACAATGTGCTGAACAGCAGCCTGGGCAGCGTCGAAGGCATGGCACACACGTTTGTTGATGTGATCTCTAAGGGCATACAATGTGGTGAAGTGATGTTTGCAGTGTCTGCATACAGACCGACCATCAAAAGAATCTCTCAAGGGTTGGAACACGTCTTCAGGGAGGCAGAGGACCTGATGCTGTTGTCTAAGATGTTTCTTGAGCATCCCCGCCTGTGCAAAGTGTCTGTGACACTCAGGACAGGCTAGCGAGGCCTGAGGCAGCGGTGGGGATGGCGGAACAAAAGCATTCATATCACATGGTGGGTATGCCGGGCTGAGCGTGCAGACATCCGGTTGCGGCTCAGCGGACTCCATCATTTGTCTGGCTTTGATGGCCAGAGCAGTGGTCAACTTACTATGATGTTCAGCTATGTACGTCCATGGAGGTTGAACTGCCAATCTATTGAAGAAGTCAGTCGTGTTTTCATGTGTGAGATGGACAGGTGAGTGTGTCATGCGACGATAGTGAACATTGATCATATTGCCAATTCTTTTACAGCAGGATAGCGGCAGACCCATTTCGTGAACACCGTAAAGAACAGTGGGCACAACACATTGCTGATATAAACGAAATCGAACATGTGTAGGTATGGATTGTGCCTGGAGCCATCGCTTCAGTATCGAATAACAGTGTTGAGCTGCTTTGACTCTTCTGGCCGTGGTGTCGGATTCCCATGCTCTGTATCCGATGATCACACCAAGATACGCTGTTTTGGCCACCATTGGCAGTCGAAAAGGTGTGTCCGGGATCACGAGCTGGGGGCCATGTTTGGTCCGGCTGATCTATTGGCGTGTGAACTTGGAGACCCCCTTGCCTACTGCTCGAAAAAGCACAACACTCTTAGTGGGATTGATGTTGAATCCAAAGGAGCGAAAGGTGTGCAATATATGTGCAAGATCTCCAAGGGCGTCCAAGCCATCCGCAATGCTGTGCAACGTCCACCGGATGTGGACATCGTCTGCATAGACGATCAGGTGATCGTGCAGCCATTCATGGGAGTACCTCTGAAGAAGTTCTTTCATGATTAGAAACATGCAAAGGGTCCAGAGGATGGGAGCATCAGTGGATCCCTGTTTGATCCCTCGTGAAGCATCTATTATTCCAATCAAGGATTTGAAGGGGATGTGATACTTGTGGGGGACCAACCAAGTCTGAATCATGTGCAGAACATCTGATGAGAGATTTATT